TTTCTGTAGCAGCAGTTTCAGGGTGCCTGTAGCAACAGTTTTGGGGTGCTTTTAGCAGCAGTTTTGGGGTGCCTTTAGCAGCAGTTTTGGGGTGCTTTTAGCAGCAGTTTTGGGGCACAGGTTTCTGCAACAGTTTTAGGGTGCCTTTAGCAGCAGTTTTGGGGTGCAGGTTTCTGCAGCAGTTTTGGGTTTTTTGCAGCAGTTTTGTGGTGTTTTTAGCAGCAGGTTTGGGGTGCAGGTTTCTGTAGCAGTTTTGGGGTGCCTTTAGCAGCAGTTTTGGGGTGCAGGTTTCTGTAGCAGTTTTGGGGTGCTTTTGGCACTTTTGGGGTGCAGGTTTCTGTAGCAGTTTTGGGGTGCCTTTAGCAGCAGTTTTGGGGTGCTTTTAGCAGTTTTGGGGTGCTTTTAGCAGCAGTTTAGGGGTGCCTTTAGCAGCAGTTTCGGGGTGCTTTTGGCAGTTTCGGGGTGCAGGTTTCTGTAGCAGTTTCGGGGTGCTTTTAGCAGCAGTCTTGGGGTGCTTTTGGCACTTTCGGGGTGCCTTTAGCCGCAGTTTGGCGCCGCGTTTCCTGGAAGCCGCCCGGCCCCGCCGATAACCCGGAGCTTTCCGGTTCCGTCCCCACCGGGGCTTTTCTCAGAAGCCGCCGCCGCTTCCCCGAACCGGGCTGTAAATAAGAGCTGGGGGAGGGGAAGGGGGGAGGATTCACCACCGAAAATTCAAAAAAATTCAAAATTCAGCTGCTGCAGGAAGGGGGGTGCTGCTGCAGCCCGCGGCACCCCAACACCTGGCCCGGCCGCTTTTGGGGTGGGGGAATTTTGGGGAAGCAGCTCCGAGCCCGAAATCTGCCGAGGAGGGGGTTCATGCAAATGCACCAAAAATCCCCCCCCCAAAATACCCAAATCTGTGCTCATTTTTGGGGTTTCTGTCACGCTCCAGGTGTGGGGTTTTCCCCCTGGGGCTCAGGGGTGTTGTGGGGCAGAGATTTCCCCTTTTTTTTGGGGGGGTCGCTGCCCTTTCCCCCCTTTTATGGGGGTCCTTCTGTGGGGGATCCTTGGGATTTTTTAATGGGGGGGTCCTTTTAATGGGGGGTCCTTGGGGAGATCCTGGGATTTGGGGGGACCCCACCCTAGGACAGAGATGATTTTTGGGGAGAGGGTTTGCCCTCCATTACTGCCCTTTCCCCCCCATTTTTTTGGGCAAGGGGAGGGAGATCCTGGCAATTTGGGGGGGACCCCACCCCAAGATGGGGAGAGGGGCTCTGCCAATGGCAGGGAGGGGACCCTGAGGTTTTTGGGGTGCCGGGACCCCCCCTCAGCTCGCCGGGATTGTCCCTGCGGGGGGAGGAAGCGGGGGTGGGGGGGGAGTGACTCATTTGGGCTGAGATGACGAAGATTTGGGGTTTTTAGGGTTGGGTTTTTAGGAGTGGGCGGGTGGCACATCCTGACCCCCCCCCCCCCCCTCCCCAGGGGGGTTTTGTTCCTTTTTCCAGGAATTCGGGTGCCCCCGGCACCCCAAATCCCCTTCCCTGCCTCCCGAGCCTGGCGTGGGCACTGGGCTGCTGATCCATGAAGGCTCCTCCTCTTCTTCCTCCTCTTCTTCTTCATCTCCTCCTCTTCCTCCTCCTCCTCTCCCGAACTCCCAGCCCCCCCTGGCCTGAGGGTTATGGGGGGCACAGGGGCTGTTTGGGGGGGATTTAGGGGTTGGGGGAGCAACAGGGGGTGTTTAGTGGATGTGGTTTGGGGGGATTTTAGGGGGTTTAGGGGCTATGGGGGGCACAGGGGCTGTTTGGGGGGATTTAGGGGTTGGGGGGCACAGAGAGTGTTGAATGGCTGCGGCTTGGGGGTGTTTGGGGGATTTGGGGTTCTGAGGGCACACGGGTGTGCAGGCAGCGGTCAATGGGTGCGGGGCAGTACCGGGGCAGTACCGGGCAGTGGGTGCGGGGCAGTGGGTGCGGGGCAGGGCCGGGCAGAGGCGGCGGTGACTCAGGCAGGAATGCGCTGGCAGCACACGGCGTTCCTGTGCCGGTGCCGCCGCCCGGGCACGGCCCCGCACTCGCTGACCCGGTACTGCCCCGGTACTGCCCCGGGCATTGCCCCGCACCCACTGCTCCCAGTGTGCCCCAGTAAGATCCAGTACACCCCAGGGAGCTCCCAGTGCACCAGAGCCGGTACCGGGGGGTCTCGGACCAAAGGCGGTACCAGAGGCAGTACCGGGGGGTCCCGGACCAAAGGCGGTACCGGGGTCCCGGACCAAAGGCGGTACCAAAGGCAGTACCGGGGGGTCTCGGACCAAAGGCGGTACCGGGGTCCCGGACCAAAGGCGGTACCAAAGGCAGTACCGGGGGGTCTCGGACCAAAGGCGGTACCAGAGGCGGTACCAGAGGCAGCACCGGGGGGTCCCGGGCCAAAGGCGGTACCGGGGTCCTGGACCAAAGGCGGTACCGGGGGGTCCCGGACCAAAGGCGGTACCGGGGGATCCCGAACCGGGCCGGCCCCGCCCCGCACACGGACAGCCCACAGGGCGCTGTCGCCGCCCGGTGGCCAAAGGCCGGTACTGCACCTCAGGCTCCGCACATGCGCAGTGGCGCTGCCACCACCCGCCGATACCGGCACCGGGGGGCTGAGAGGCCTCGGTACCGGCACCGAGGGGTTGAGGGGCTCCGGGGGCTGCCGCCGCTGCCTCCCGGTGAGGAACGGCCGCCGGTGCTGCCCCGCCCGGGCTGTCCCGGAGACCAAAGCGAGGAGCGGCAGCGTCGGTGCCGCCCTCGGGCCCGCGCCGCTGCTGTCGCCGCCTCGTGGTGAGAGCGCGGTACTGCAGGAGCCGCACAAGCGGGGACCTCGGGATGGGGAGGGGGCGCCCCCAGACCCCTCCTCCTGCACCAAACCCCTCATTCTGACCCCCGGGATGGGGAGGGGGCGCCCCCAGACCCCTCATCCTGCCCCAAACCCCTCATCCTGACCCCCGGGATGGGGAGGGGGCGGCCCCAGACCCCTCATCTTGTCCCAGATCCCTCACCCTGCCCCCAGACCCCTCAGTTCTCTGCCCAAAAACCACACCGAGCTCCCCATGGAACCTCCCCCAGTTTCCCTTCCTGCCCTCCTCAGGCTGCAGTGGAACAGGAGGTTCCTCTCTGGAGAGCTGAAAGGGAAGTTTGGAACTTTCTGCTGAGCTTTTTTTCCTTGTTCCTCTTTCAGGACACAGATCTCAAGCAGTTCCCTCAGCGGGGGCAGCTCCCTGTGAGCAGGGACAGCACCCCAGGGATCCTGGAGCTGTGTCAGGGAGGTTTAGGATGGATTATCAGGGAAAGGTTCTTCCCCCTGAGGCTCCCCAGGGCTGCCCGAGCTCCAGGAGGGTTTAGACAACGCTCCCATTTTGGGGCGTCAGTGCAGGGCCAGGGCTTGGACTGGCTGGTCCCTGTGGGGAGATTCCAGGATTCTGTGACTCTCTCAAGTGACAGCCCAGCCCTGGACCCTCAGTGACCCCACAGCTCAAAGGAACCCCCGTCCCCCTCCCCAAATCCCACACCTCAGTCCCTTGGCTCCTGCTGAGCTCCAGCACCCTGCCAGGAGCTGCCCTCCTCTTCCTCGCCCCCAGCACAGCATTCCCACAGGAACCTGTGCCTAGAAATCCACTTTATTTGGTTGAAGACAAGTCAGTGATGGAGAATTCAGAGCCAGCAGGGCCCCAGATCCGTGTGAGGAGGAGCTCAAGCTGAAGGGAACCCCCTGCTCAATTGAAGCTACAGCCCATCCCCAAATCCCACACCTCAGTCCAGGGTAGAGGCTCCTGCTGAGCTCCAGCATTGTCCCAACCCTGCCAGGAGCTGCCCTCCTCCTCCGCTTCCTCGCCCCCAGCACAGCATTCCCACAGGAACCTGTGTCTAGAAATCCACTTTATTTGGTTGAAGACGAGTCAGTGATGGAGAACCCGGAGCCAGCAGGGCCCCAGATCCCTGTGAGAGCCCCGAGGAGCTCCGGGCCACGGGCAGAGCTGGGATCCAGCCCTGCAGGGCCCCGCAGGACACACCTGAGCTTGAGCAGTGCTGGGACCGGCACTGGGGGTCCCAGCAGGAACGGGGAGCAGGGAGGAGCTGCTGGGGTGTGCTGGGAGCAGGAGCGGGGCTGGAGCAGCCCGGGGTGTGGCACTGGGGACAGTCCTTGGCCAGCAGTGGTTGTGTCCCTTGGGAGAGGAGGAGGAGGAAAAAGAAGAAGAGGAAGACAGAAGGAGAAAAGGAGGAAGAGGAAGAGGAGGAAGAGTAGAAAAGGAGGAGGAGGAAAAGAAGAAGAGGAGGAAGAGAAGCAAAAAAGAGGAGGAGGAGGAAGAAGAGGAGGAGAAGATGAAGAGGAGGAAGAGAAAGAGAAAAGGAAGAGGAGGAGGAAGAGGAGAAAAGGAGGTGGAGAAGAAGAGGAGGAAGAGAAGGAGAAAAGGAGGAGGAGGAGGAGAAGAAGATGAAGAAGGAAAAAAGAGGAGGAGGAGGAGCAAGAAGAGGAGGAGAAGATGAAGAGGAGGAAGAGGAGGAGAAAAGGAGGAGGATGAAGAGGAGAAAAGGAGGAGGAGGAAAAGAAGAAGAGGAGGAAGAGAAGGAGAAAAGAATGATGAGGAAGAGGAGGAAGAGGAGGAGGAGTAGAAAAGGAGGAGGAGGAAAAGAAGAAGAGGAGAAAGAGAAAGAGAAAAGGAAGAGGAGGAAGAGGAGAAAAGGAGGAGGAGGAGAAGAGGAAGACAAGGAGAAAAGAAGAAGGAGGAGGAAGAGAAGGAGAAAAGGAGAAGAGGAAGAGGAGGATTTCCCTGACCAAACTCCCCCCATCGCTTCCCTTTGCTGCGTGGATCAGGAAAAACCCGGGCAGGGAGCGCAGCAGCGGCACTGGGCAGGGGGACACAGGGGTGAGGGGGCACCTGCAGGCGTCCCCCGGTCCCCTCGGGGGGCAGAGGGGGCGGCACAGCCACGGCCACTCCCGGGAAGGGAATCCGGGAATCCCGGGAATGGGAGGATCCGGAATGGGAGGATCCAGGATTTGAGGGGAGGATCCCGGGGGTCTCCGGCCCGGCCCCCTCAGTTGATGGGCTCGTACTCCGAGTAGCGCCGTCTCTGTGCCAGCAGCAGCAGGCAGCTGCCCAGCAGCAGCATGGCCAGCGGCGTGCCCAGCGCCACGGCCGTGATGGAGATCACCAGAGGGGAGAAGCTGTCCCTGGGGGGCTCCCCGAAGCCCAGCAGCACCGACCTGCAAAGGGGGGATGGCACCGATCAGGGCAGGGTGGGCTCCGTCCCGGGGGGAGAGGGGTCAGGCCAGGGTGAGGCTGCTCAAGGAGCTGTGGAGCCTTTGCTGCAGGATTAGAGGGGAACCCTGACTTTGGAATGGAGATTGATACTGAATAGGGAAACCCTGAGACCTGCCAGGGCCCAAAGTGCACAGCCTTAGTGGCCAGGAACGTCCCCTCAGACCCCTCTGTACATCCTTAGTGACCAGGAACATCCTGTTGGACCCCTCTGGACCAGCAGCACCCCCTCAGACCCCTCTGCACATCTTTAGTGACCAGGAACATCCTTTCAGAACTTTCAGACCCCTCCGCACATCCTTAGTGACCAGAACATCCCCTCAGACCCTTCAGCACATTGTCAGTGACCAGGATTATCCTTTTGGACCCCTCTGCCCGTCTTTAGTGACCAGAACATCCCCTCAGACCCTTCAGACCCCTCTGCACGTGGTCAGTGACCAGGAACATCCCCTCAGAGCCCTCTGCACCAGCAGCACCCCCTGAGACCCCTCAGAGCCCCCTCACTCGCAGCTGAGACCCCCCAGACCCCCTCAGTCACCATCTGAGGTACCCCAGACCCCTGACTCACAGCTGAGACCCCTCAGACCTCTCACTCACCATCTGAGACCCCCCAGACTCCCCTCACTCACCATCTGAGGTACCCCAGACCCCTCAGACCCCTCACTCACAGCTGAGGTACCCCAGACTCCCCTCACTCACCATCTGAGGTACCCCAGACCCCCCAGACCCCTCACTCACAGCTGAGGTACCCCAGACTCCCCTCACTCACCATCTGAGGTACCCCAGACCCCTCAGACCCCTGACTCACCATTTGAGATACCCCAGACCCCTCAGATCCCCTGACTCATCATCTGAGACCCCCCAGACCCCTCACTCACCATCTGAGACCCCCCAGACCCCTCATTCACCATCTGAGACCCCCCAGACCCCTGACTCACCATTTGAGATACCCCAGACCCCTCAGATCCCCTGACTCACCATCTGAGACCCCCCAGACCCCTCACTCACCATCTGAGGTACCCCAGACCCCTCACTCACAGCTGAGACCCCCCAGACCCCTTGACGCCCCTGACTCACCATCTGAGACCCCCCCAGACCCCCCAGACCCCTCACTCACCATCTGAGACCCCCCAGACCCCTCAGAGCCCCCAGACTCACCAGCTGAGGTACCTCCTCTCCTGGTAGACGTGTCCCTCCTCGCCGCCGAAGGTCACGTTGAGGACGCTGAGGGCGCAGCCGGTGTCCCCGAGGAAGGCGCGCGGCACGGCGGCCGCGGGCAGGCTCCCGTTGGCCGCGCGCAGCGCCCCGGCCCGGCACCGCACGCCGTCCTCGCGCCGCGGGCTGGGCGAGCCGTAGGCGGCCGCCTTCCACTGCAGGAAGGACAGAGGAGAGCCGGTGCCGTTCGGGGGCTCGGCCACCAGCGACAGCTCCTGCGGACGGACAGACGGACGGACAGATGGACAGGGGGTCACCGGGCAGCAGGACAGCGATTCCTGTGCGTTTTGCTAATGGGTACTGAGCTAGCTAATGGATTGATTGTAGATGAATATCATCCCTGTTAATGGATATTGAGCTATTGAATGGATTGATTGTAGATTAATATCATCCCTTTAATGGATATTGATCTATTGAATGGATTGATAGTAGATAGATTAATAGAAATTCTATTAATGGGTCTGATCGATTGATATGAGACAGATTAATATCACTGCAGGAAGGACAGCGCGGAGCCGCCAGTGCCGTTCGGGGACTCGGCCACCAGAGACAGCTCCTGCGGACGGACAGACGGATGGACGGACAGGGGGTCACCGGGGCAGCAGGACAGGGATTCCTATGCGTTCTAATAATGGGTATTGAGCTAGCTCATGGATTGATTGTAGGTGAATATCATCCCTGTTAATGGATATTGAGCTATCTAATAGACAGATTAATATCAATTCTATTAATGGATATTGATCTATCGAATGGATTGATAGTAGATAGATTAATAGAAATTCTATTAATGGATCTAATAGATTGATATGAGACAGATTAATGTCACGGCAGGAAGGACAGCGTGGAGCCACCAGTGCCGTTCGGGGGCTCGGCCACCAGAGACAGCTCCTGCGGACGGACAGACGGACGGACAGACGGATGGACGGACAGGGGGTCACCGGGGCAGCAGGACAGCGATTCCTGTGCGTTCTAATAATGGGTATTGAGCTAGCTAATGGATTGATTGTAGGTGAATATCATCCCTATTAATGGATGTTGATCTATCTAATGGATTGGCAGTAGATAGATGAATAGAAATTCTATTAATCGATCTAATCGATTGATATGAGACAGATTAATATAAATTCCGTTAATGGATATTGATCTATCGAATGGATTGATAATAGATAGATTAATATCAATTCTGTTAATGGATATTGATCTATCTAATGGATTGATAGCAGATAGATTAATATCAATTCTATTAATGGATATTATTGTATCGAATGGATTGGTAGTAGATAGATTAATATCAATTCTATTAATGGATATTGATCTATCTAATAGACTGATATTAGACAGATTAATATCAATTCTATTAATGGATATTGATCTATCTAATAGATTGATATTAGCTAGATTGATATTAGATAAATATCCAGTAGATCATTAATGGATATTAATCTATGTAATAGATTATATTAGCTAGATTAATATCAATTTTATTCGTTTATATTAATCTATGTAATAGATTAATATTAGCTAAATATAAATTCTATTAGTCTAATGTCAATCTATTACATAGATTAATATCAGTTCTATTAGTTTATATTACTCTAGCTAATATCAATTTATTGGATAGACAATATCAATGAACATATTGATTAATCGATCAGTTAATTGACTGAGGGCCATCCCTGAAATTATCTATCTAATAGACTGATATTGGCTACATTGATATTAGATATTATAAATTATTATAATATATATTATAAATTATTATAATATATATTATTATTATATTATAATCTATATTATTATTAGATTATTATAAATTCTATTAATTGATATGGATCTATCTAATAGATTAATATTAGCTAGATTGATATTAGATAAATATCAAGTAGATCATTAATGGACATTAATCTTTGTAATAGATTGATATTAGACAGATTAATACCAATTCTATTAATTTATATGGATCTATCCAATAGATTGATATTAGCTAGATTAATATAAATTCTATTAATCTAATATCAATCTATTAGATAGATGAATATAAATTCTATTAATGGATATTGATCTATCTAATGGATTGACAATAGATTAGTATCAATTCTATTAATGGATATTATTCTATCTAATAGACTGACAATAGATTAATATCAATTCTGTTAATGGATATTGATCTATCAAATGTATTGGTAGTAGATCAATTAATATAAATTCTATTAACGGATATTGATCTACCTAATGGGTTGGTAGTAGATAGATTAGAAATTCTATTAATCGATCTAATCGATTGATATGAGACAGATTAATATCAATTCTATTTATGGATATTGAGCTATCAAATGGATTGATAATAGATTAGTATCAATTCTATTAATGGATATTGATCGATCGAATGGATTGGTAGTAGATTAATTAATATCAATTCTATTAATGGATATTGATCTATCTAATGGATTGATAGCAGACAGAATAATATCAATCCTATTAATGGATCTAATCGATTGATATGAGACAGATTAATATCAATTCTATTAATGGATATTAATCTATCTAATAGATTGATTTTAGACAGATTGATATTAGATTGATATCAATTCTATTCATTGATATTAATCTAATAGATTGATTTTAGATTGATATAAATTAATAGAATTTATATTAATCTATCTAATAGATTAATATTAGCTAAATTGATATCAATTGTATTAATTTTTATTAATCTAACACCAATCTATTAGATAGATGAATATCAATTCTATTAGTTTATATTGCTCTACCTAATATCAATCTATCAGATAGATGAATATCAATTCTATTAGTTTATATTACTCTACCTAATATCAATCTATTAGATAGACTAATATCAATTCTATTAGTTCATATTACTCTAGCTAATATCAATCTATCAGATAGATGGATATCAATTCTATTAGTTTCTATTACTCTAGCTAATATCAATCTATTAGATAGATGGATATCAATTCTATTGGTTTCTATTACTCTAGCTAATATCAATCTATCAGATAGATGGATATCAATTCTATTAGTTTATATTACTCTACCTAATATCAATCTATCAGATAGATGAATATCAATTCTATTAGTTCATATTACTCTAGCTAATATCAATCTATCAGATAGATGGATATCAATTCTATTAGTTTATATTACTCTAGCTAATATCAATCTATCAGATAGATGAATATCAATTCTATTGGTTCATATTACTCTAGCTAATATCAATCTATCAGATAGACGAATATCAATTCTATTAGTTCATATTACTCTAGCTAATATCAATCTATTAGATAGACGAATATCAATTCTATTAGTTCATATTACTCTAGCTAATATCAATCTATCAGATAGATGAATATCAATTCTATTAGTTTATATTACTCTACCTAATATCGATCTATCAGATAGATGAATATCAATTCTATTGGTTTATATTACTCTAGCTAATATCAATCTATCAGATAGACGAATATCAATTCTATTAGTTTATATTACTCTAGCTAATATCAATCTATTAGATAGACGAATATCAATTCTATTAGTTCATATTACTCTAGCTAATATCGATCTATCAGATAGATGAATATCAATTCTATTGGTTTATATTACTCTAGCTAATATCAATCTATCAGATAGACGAATATCAATTCTATTAGTTTATATTACTCTAGCTAATATCAATCTATTAGATAGACGAATATCAATTCTATTGGTTCATATTACTCTAGCTAATATCAATCTATCAGATAGATGAATATCAATTCTATTAGTTTATATTACTCTACCTAATACCAATCTATCAGATAGACAAATATCAATTCTATTAGTTTATATTACTCTACCTAATATCGATCTATCAGATAGATGAATATCAATTCTATTAGCTTACATTACTCTACCTAATATCGATCTATCAGATAGATGAATATCAATTCTATTAGTTCATATTACTCTAGCTAATATCAATCTATCAGATAGATGAATATCAATTCTATTGGTTTATATTACTCTAGCTAATATCAATCTATCAGATAGACGAATATCAATTCTATTAGTTTATATTACTCTAGCTAATATCAATCTATCAGATAGACGAATATCAATTCTATTGGTTCATATTACTCTAGCTAATATCAATCTATCAGATAGATGAATATCAATTCTATTAGTTTATATTACTCTACCTAATACCAATCTATCAGATAGACAAATATCAATTCTATTAGTTTATATTACTCTACCTAATATCGATCTATCAGATAGATGAATATCAATTCTATTAGCTTACATTACTCTACCTAATATCGATCTATCAGATAGATGAATATCAATTCTATTAGTTTCTATTACTCTAGCTAATATCAATCTATCAGATAGATGAATATCAATTACCAGACGGATTAATCGATCAGTTTATTGACTGAGAGGCCCTCCCGGCTCACCTGGAAGACGCTGGGCGCGTACTCGTCGTCGATGGAGCTCCGCGCCCGCAGGCGCCGCTGCGTGCCCGGCGGCTCCAGCGCGGCCAGCTGCAGCACGAAGCGGGAGCCGTTCCCGCGGGGCAGCACCCCGGCCAGCACGAACTGCAGCTGCGAGCTGTCCGCCGTGTGCAGCAGCCGCGGCAGCCGCACCGCGCGGCCGCTGCCCTCGTACGCTGCCACCTGAGGGGACACGGGGCACGGGGACAGTGAGGGGCAGCGAGGGACAGTGAGGGACAGAGGGCACAGGGACAGTGAGGGGCAGCGAGGGACAGTGAGGGACAGTGAGGGACAGAGGGCACAGGGACAGTGAGGGGCAGCGAGGGACAGTGAGGGACAGTGAGGGACAGAGGGCACAGGGACAGTGAGGGGCAGCAAGGGACAGTGAGGGACACAGGGCACGGGGGCAGTGAGGGACAGCAGGGACAGTGAGGGACAGAGGGCACGGGGACAGTGAGGGGCAGCGAGGGACAACGAGGGACACAGGGCACGGGGGCAGTGAGGGACAGCAGGGACAGCGAGGGACACGGGGCACGGGGACAGTGAGGGTCAGGGGGGCAGGGACAGCCAGGGACAGTGAGGGACAGAGAGGGACACGGGGCACAGGGACAGCCAGGGACAGAGGGACACAGGGACAGTGAAGGACAGGGGACAGAGGGACAGTGAGGGTCAGGGGGACAGAGAGGGACAGTGGGACAGTGAGGCAGTGAGGGACACGGGGCACAGGGACAGTGAGGAGCAGGGGGCACAGGGACAGTGAGGGACACAGGGCAGAGGGACAGCCAGGGACAGTGAGGGACAGCAAGGGACAGCGAGGGACACGGGGCACAGGGACAGCCAGGGACAGGGGGACAGAGAGGGATAAGAGGGACAGTGAGGGACAAGAGGGACATTGAGGGACACGGGGCACAGGGACAGCGAGGGGCAGTGAGGGACAGGGAGGGGCAGCGAAGGAAAGGGGAACAGTAAGGGGCAGCAAGGGACAGCGAAGGACACGGGACACAGGGACAGTGAGGGACAGGGGGACAGTGAGGGGCAGCAAGGGGCAGTGAGGAGCACCAAGGGACAGTGAAGGACACGGGGCACAGGGACAGCGAGGAACAGTGAGGGATGGAGGGACAGCGAGGGACACAGAACAGAGGGACAGCGAGGGACAGAAAGGGACAAAGAGCACAGCAATCAGCGAGGGACACGGGGCACAGGGACAAGGGATAGAGGGACAGTGAGGGACAGCAAGGGACACGGGGCACAGGGACAGCCAGGGACAGTGAGGGACATGGGGACGGTGAGGGACAGGGAGGGACAGAGAACAGAGGGACAGCAGGGGTCAGGGGGACAGCGAAGGTCAGAGGGACAGTGGGACAGTGCCTGCCGCCCCCTGGACATGCCCCCAGCCCCCTGCCTGTGCCCCCTGCCCCCTGGACGTGGCCCCAGCCCCCTGCCCGCGCCCCCTGCCCCTGCCATACCCGGAATGCCAGGCTGCCGTTGGCGAAGGCGCCGCCGGGGTCGCTGGCCGGGACCCCCCTGAGCTCGGCCGTCAGGGCCGTGTGGTTCAGAGTGTGGTTGAGGCTCTCCCAGGAGAACTCGGACAGGTCGTAGGTGGGGTAGAAGAGCTCTCCCAAAGGTTTGGCCTCGCTGAACTCGAAGAGCTGCAGGGAAGGGAGGGGAGAGGGGTTGGGAGCACCGGCAGGACGGGGGAGTGTGCTGTGATCCAGGGAACGGGGCAGAGCTGCCTCAGCCAAGCAGCTCCGACACTGCCCTGGATGGGAATGGGAATGGAGGGGGTTTCCCTGGAGCTGGGAAGCTGCCCAGGGACCCTCGGCACCCCCAGCTGTCCCAGAGCAGCCCCTTGCCAGCAGTACCTTGGTGAACACCACGGCTGTGGAATAGACCACGCTGTCGGGAGGGTCGATCCAGACGGCCCCAGCAGGACTGGGTGACAGCAGCTGGGTCCAGTTGACCCTCAGGGCACTGCTGGGGCTCCGCGTGGCCACCAGGAGCACAGAAGGGGCCCCGATGCTGCTCCAGACGTAGTGCAGGGTGTCCTCAGGCCCCACCGCCCGCACGTGCAGCAGGTTCACAGAGGAGCTGTTCCAGCCAGGGTTGTACTCCATGGACACCTGCGGGGCAGGGACGGGGCTGGGGGTGGCTCTGAGCCCAGCAGGACAGCCCCAGTGTGACAGGAGGATGGGACACTGCAGCTGCCCGGGCTCCCGTGACTCTGCAGCCCTGGTGTTGCTCAACACGCTTGGTCAGCATTTCACAACACTGAGCTGCTTCCCATCCTCATGGCCCTTTCCTTCCACAGCCCCTTCCCCTTCTACAGCCCCTTCCTTTCCACAGACCCTTCCCATCCTAATGGCCCTTCCCTTCCCCAGCCCCTTCCTTTCCCACCCCACAGCCCCTTCCCTTCTCATCCCACAGCCCCTTCCCATCCCACAGCCCCTTCCTTTCCCACAGCCCCTTCCCATCCTAATGGCCCTTCCCTTCTCATCCCATAGCCCCTTCCCACAGCCCCTTCCTTTCCCATCCCATCCTACAGCCCCTTCTCATCCCACAGCCCTTTCCAATCCCACAGCCCCTTCCTATCCCACAGCCCCTTCCTTTCCCACGTCACAGCCCCATCCCCATCCCATCCCACCCCAAAGCCCCTTTCCCACCCCACAGCCACGCTGGTCCCACTGCATCAGGACAAAGGGACACACATGGGACATGTCGCCGCAGGACAGGGGTGACAGGGCGGGGTCAGCCAGGACACAGCGAGGGCTGGTTCAGCTCCAGCCCCACATGGGAGCCCCTTTTCCCCCAAGCCCCGCAAGGTTGGAGCCCCAGCGGGTCCAGCCCAGCCCCTGCTCCGGACAGGATCCCCCGAGAACACAACAATCCCAAAAGTTTCTATCCCACAAACTATCCCAGAAGTTTCTATCCCACAAACTATCCCAGAAGTTTCTATCCCACAAACTATCCCACAAGTTTCTATCCCACAAACTAGCGCACAAGTTTCCCCTCAGCACCGAGGGTGGCAGAGCTGCCCCAGGCGAGCACAGAGTCCCACCCGCACCCACCGGGATGTCCCTGGCTGGGTCACCCCGGTGTCCCCGCACTCCGAGATCCCAGGAGGGGACACGGGGGAGGTCTCAGCCATCGCCGCAACGCGGGACGAGCTCTGAGCTCCGCACCCGGCCCACCCAGCCCCGGTACCCCCGGTACCCTCGGTAGCTCCGGTAGCCCCGCTCACCTTCCGGCCCCGCTCGGCCCCGGCCGCCGCCAGCAGCGCCAGCAGCGCCAGCCCCGCAGCGGCGGCCATGGCGCCACCGGCCCCGGCCACGGCTCCGCCCCGGAACCGCCCCGGAACCGCCCGGGAACCGCCCAGGAACGGCCTCAGGACCGCCCCGGAACCGCCTCAGGACCGCCCCGGTACTGCCTGCGGACCGCCCTGGAACGGCCCCGGAACCGCCCGGGGACCGCCCGCGAACCGCCCTGGAACCGCCTCAGGACCGCCCCGGTACTGCCTGCGGACCGCCCTGGAACGGCCCGGGAACCGCCCTGGGACCGCCCCGGTACTGCCTGCGGACCGCCCTGGAACGGCCCGGGAACCGCCCTGGGACCGCCCGCGGACCGCCCTGGAACGGCCCCGGTACGGCCCGGAACCGTCCCGGGACCGCCCCGCACGCTAAAGGAGCCCTTGTGAGCGCCGCTGGGCGCGGGATGTGGATGGAGACAGGAACCGCTCGGGGTTTGCCGTTCTGCTTCTGCCCCCGTGTGCGCTGAGCCCCTTCCGAGCCCCAGGGCGGCCAAGACCCCCGTGTCCATCATGCTGTGGAGTGGAGACCCCCACTCATTCATCATCCCACCGAGCAGAGACCCCCATCTCCCTCCCACAGGGCACCTGAGACCCCCACCCTGTGGAGACCCCCTCTCCTTCATCATCCCATTCAGCAGAGACCCCCATCCAGAAACCCCTCACCTTCACTGCCCCATACTTTGGAGACCCCCAAATCCCCGAGAGACCCCACCTCCATCCCCCAGGACACCAAAGACCCCCACATTGCCCATATTTTTGTTGCCCCCTGAAGTGCAGCCCCCGTCCTTGGGCTCCCCAAAGCTTTTGGTGTTGGCACAGACCCCTCAGAGCCCCCAAACCCGGGGGGTTTTGTACCCCCCAACATCAACAATCAGCCAGAAATGATAAATTTATTTAGAGATAAACCTGAACCCCAAATTCTGGGAGCTCCTGGGGGAACCCAACTCTTCCTCCACTCTGATCCCTGCTGGATCTGGGGTGCTCATAACCCCAAACTCAGGAGGTTTTGTCACCCCCCATCATGAACAATCAGCCAGAAATGATAAATTTACTTAGGGATAAACCTGAACCCCAAACCCTTTACAGATAAACCCGAACCCCAAATTCTGGGAGCTCCTGGAGGAGCCCAACATCTCCTCCACCTTGATCCCTGCTGGATCCAGGGTGGCTTTGGGAAGCCACGAGGGTGAAAAATTCCTCAAGGATCAGAGGTGTCCACCTTAAATAAAACCCAGGTTTTATTGCCTGTGGGAAAGGAGATTCCAGGTGAGAATTCCACCATTTCTTGTTGATTTTAGGGATGGCAGCGGAACATTCCAGAATTTTTCTTGGTTCTAGAGTTGTCAAACAAGAATCTCATTGTTTTTTGTTGGGTTTAGGATTGCCAGGGGAGCATTCCATAATTTCTGTCAGTTCTAGGGTTGCCATGGGATCATTCCACTGTTTCTGTTTATTCTAGGGTTGCCAGGGGAGCATTTAATTTTATTTTTTGTTTAATTTTAGGGTTGCCAGAGGATAATTCCACCTATTTTTTTTTTTCAGTTCTTGGGTTCCAGAGGAGCAATTTTATCATTTCTGTTGGTTCTAGGGTCACCACAGAATCATTCCATCATTTTTTTCAGTTCTAGGGTTGCCATGGGCTCATCCCACTGGTTTTATTTGTTTTCAGGGCTGCCATGGTAGAATTCCACCTTTTTTTTCCAGTTCTGGAGCTGCCAGAGGAGCATTCCACCCTTTTTGTCGGTTCTAGGATTTCCAGTGGAGCATTCCACTTTTATTGTTGGCTCTACAGATACGAGACGAGAATTCCACCATTTTTTTCCAGTTCTTGGGTTCCAGAGGAGCAATTTGATCATTTCTGTTGGTTCTAGGGTCACCACAGAATCATTCCATCATTTTTTTCAGTTCTAGGGTTGCCATGGGATCATCCCACTGGTTTTATTTGTTTCTAGGGTTGCCATGGTAGAATTCCACCCTTTTTATTGGTTCTAGGATCACCACAGGATCATTCCACCATTTCTGTGGGTTCTAGGGTCACCACAGAATCATTCCACCATTTTTGCCAATTCTAGGGTTGCCATGGGCTCATCCCACTGGTTTTATTTGTTTCCAGAGTTGCCATGGTAGAATTCCACCTTTTTTTTCCAGTTCTGGAGTTGCCAGAGAAGCATTCCACCCTTTTTGTCGGTTCTAGGATCTCCAGAGGAGCATCCACCTGTGGATGCACAGAACATCCCTTAGGAAGAAGGTATCAAAAATGGGACAGTACTGGGGGGACATGTGGGGTTAAAACACCTGCTTGGAGGAGAAACCAAAGGGAACAAGGGAAAGGGATGATGATGGAGGAGAAATGCCTGGAGAAGGGAGCACAGGGATGTTACATCCATCAGCTATGCCAGGAAAAGTCATTTCCTCGCCATGCAAACCCTCGGGGATGTTATAAAGGTAAGGGATCAGGACCTGGGAGAGAAATGGCCCTAAAAGAAAAGAGACACCTGCCTGGAGATCATCTCTGAGGGAAATGGCACCAAAATAAAAGAGACACCTGCCTGGAGATCCTGAAGATCATCTGTGAGGGGAAATGCCATTAAAAAAGAAGAGACACCTGCCTGGAGATCTTGGAGATGATCTCTGAGGGAAAATGGCCCTAAAAGAAAAGAGACACCTGCCTGGAGATCATCTCTGAGGGAAATGGCACCAAAATAAAAGAGACACCTGCCTGGAGATCCCGGAGATGATCTCTGAGGGAAAATGGCCCTAAAAGAAAAGAGACACCTGCCTGGAGATCCTGAAGATCATCTCTGAGGGGAAATGCCGTTAAAAAAGAAGAGACACCTGCCTGGAGATCATCTCTGAGGGGAAATGACACCAAAATAAAAGAGACACCTGCCTGGGGATCATCTCTAAGGGGAAATGGCACCAAAAGAAGAGAGATACCTGCATGGAGATCATCTGTGAGGGGAAATGGCCCTAAAACAGAAGAGACACCTGCCTGGAGATCATCTCTGAGGGAAATGGCACCAAAATAAAAGAGACACCTGCCTGGAGATCCTGGGATCATCTGTGAGGGAAAATGGCCCTAAAAGAAAAGAGACACCTGCCTGGAGATCCTGAAGATCATCTCTGAGGGGAAATGCCGTTAAAAAAGAAGAGACACCTGCCTGGAGATCATCTCTGAGGGGAAATGGCACCAAAAGAAGAGAGATACCTGCATGGAGATCATCTGTGAGGGGAAATGGCCCTAAAACAGAAGAGACACCTGCCTGGAGATCATCTCTGAGGGAAATGGCACCAAAATAAAAGAGACACCTGCCTGGAGATCCCGGAGATGATGTCTGAGGGGAAATGGCACTAAAATAAAAGAGACACCTGCCTGGAGATCATCTCTGAGGGGAAATGGCACCAAAATAAAAGAGACACCTGCCTGGAGATCATCTCTGCCGGGACTCGAACCCGGAACCTCTGGATTAGAAGTCCAGCGCGCTCGTCCATTGCGCCACAGAGACCTCACCGTGAGGGGAGCGTCGGCTCCAGAACTGAAAAATCCGCAGCGCCCGCCGGGTCCGGTGCCCATCGACACCTCCCTGTCACAGCAGCACCTCCAGAGTGCCCTCCCTGCACAGGGACAGGCAGGAATAATGCCAGGGATGATCCATATCTCGCTCGGCAGCGGGGATGCAGCAAAAAGCTGGATGCAGGCTGGTATCCGCCTCTCTGGCAACCTTTCCGCAGCATCCCCGGCGCTCTGGGCAGAGCTAAATCCTGGAGCAGAGTTCCTCGCTGCATCTCAGCAGCATCACAGCATCCTCCCCGCTGCAGAAGCCAAGGGATAAAGATGAAAGAGGATTTAGCTCAATGGTGAGGGCAGCTCGGCTTGTCGGGGTCGAACAACGGTGAGAAGCTGAGGCTTGAGCAGAGGAATGAAAGGGAAAGCGGCTGCCGTGGGTTTCCTTTCAGCAAGCTGTCAATCAGGGCTTTAATGAAGAAACATTTGTGCCTTTTCTGTAGGGGAAAAAAATGAAGGCAGATGTCAAAACAACAGGAAAGGTCCATTTACAGCCACTGACCTATTAACAATGGATCAAGCTCTGGCACGGAGTCGTCGCTGGGAATTCGGAATCCCCGAAAGGAACAGATTTCAGGCTGGGAGCAGCACGTTTGGAATGCTTGAATGGAACAAATTTCAGGCTGTTTTTTGCTCCCAAACACGCCCTTGATTCCTGTGAAAGGGGAGATGTTAAGTGCAAGCCAAGAGGAGGAATTCCCTGACACAGGGGTCAGTGTGACCTGAAGCTCAGGCAGCTCTTCCTGGGGGAGAACAGCCCAGAGCAGGAATAAAAAAAGAGATTCACCCTCAGTGGAACCAGGACCTCAAAACTGAGGACAAACCCCCCAATTCCCATGAAAGGGGAGGAATTCTCTGACCTTGGGAGCTTTCCCTCGAGGTCAATGTGACCTGAACCTCAGGCAGCTCTTCCTGGGGGAGAACAGCCCAGAGCAGGAATAGAAAGGAGATTCACCCCCCTTCAGAATTGAGGATGAACCTCAGAACCTCAAAATTGAGGATAAACCCCCCAATTCCCATGAAAGGGGAATTCCCTGACACAGGGAGATTTTGCCTTGAGGTCAATGTGACCTGAAGCTCAGGCAGCTCTTCCTGGGGGAGAACAGCCCAGAGCAGGAATAAAAAAAGAGATTCACCCTCAGTGGAACCAGGACCTCAAAATTGATGATAAACCCCCCCCAGTTCTCATAAAAGGGGAGGAATTCCCTGACTCAGAGAGCTTTTGCTTTGAGGTCAATGTGACCTGAAGCTCAGACAACTCTTCCTGGGGGAGAACAGCCCAGAGCAGGAATAGAAAGGAGATTCACCCCCCTTCAGAATTGAGGATGAACCTCAGAACCTCAAAATTGAGGATAAACCCCCCAATTCCCGTGAAAGGGAAGATGTTAAATGCAATCCCAGAAGAGGAATTCCCTGACACAGGGAGATTCAGCCTTGAGGTCA